TGGAGAAATTCCTTGCACTCAAGTGAGATTGTTTCATCTTGGTGATCTGCTAGAAGCAGATCACCAAGATCAGTAATTTATTTATTTACGGCAATGCCTATTTTTTACAAGATAATTAACAAGTTCACACATATGCATTCAACAGTAATCTAAGCTAGGTTTGAGGGAAGAATATATAAAAAAAATAAAAAAAATCGTAAAAATAATGAATTATAATCTTTTCACAGTCTTTTTAAATGTTTCCAAAGAATAATTGAAAAATTCTAAATCTACATTGAATGTATTTGCAAGTCTCAAAATTCTCAGATTCATTCCGGCCATAGTTGGTGCGACAAAAGGGTACTTTGAAGATTTCCAAATTTCTTGTTCTCCTTGGATTCACATTTAAAGTTATAAGTTCGACAAGTTCCGGGGAATTGATGCTACCATTGACTATTTTATGAATTAGTGTAAAATCTGCTTCTAATCTTCTATGAGCCAGAGTATTCAAGTTAAGAATGTCCAATATAATTTTAGTCATATTCACCAATATGATATCCCAGTTTATTTGCAGAGTACCTTAAAAACTTATTTTGAACACTTTCAAACATATCAATATCCACATGATATGAAAGGCACCAAATTATGGAATTGTATTCGATTACTGATCTAACAATTGAACAATATATGATTTTTATTGAAGTGAGACATGATTCATTTGCAGATCTAACAATGAAACCTAACATTTTTAGCGCTTTAGAAGTAATATTTGCAATAAGGGGTTTGAATGACATTTTTGGGTCGAGAGTGATTCCAAAATCTCTGATTGTGTTTGTTGTTTTCAGTTCTGATTGATTGATTTTATATGGCCAGTTAATGGGATTTTTGTTTCGGAAAAAAGTAAAATTTTTTGTCTATTTTTGATTGCAGTCAATTTATTGCAGTCATACCAGCGAACAAAGTTAGATAAATCGTCCTGTAATAATTTTGTATCAGTTGGGTGATGAATAACTTTAAACATCTTCAGGTCATCAGTAAACAAGAGAAATTCACTATTGAGAATAACATCTTTCAAGTCATTGACAAATAGGTTGAAAAGCAATGGCCCCAAATGAGAACCATGTGGTACACCCGATGAAACTGTGATTGAGGAAGATACTGAGTTACCATATTTTACAAATTGTACTCTGCAGGCTAGATAATTTTCAATCCATTTCAGAATGTTTTCTTGAATACCCAAAGCGTTTAGTATATGCAACAATAAATTGTGGTTTACTCGGTCGGTTTGAAAAATCTGTGTAAATAGAATCCACCTGGTGTCTATTTTTGAAGGCGTTCATTATACAGTGTTGATAAATTAGCAGATTTGTGCTGGTAGATCTATCTCTACTGAATCCATATTGTTGATTAATGATTAAATGTCTACAATTCCATGTTAGCTTTTTTGTAATTAGGGTGTCTAACAATTTGGATAATTCTGATTGATTACAGACTGCTCGATAATTTTTTATATCATTATGTGATCCAAACTGGTTTTCCAATAATCTGGCAAGATCGACGATTTCAAGGAAATATTGAATATCATGTGAATTGGTTTTACCAGGGTTTGGAAGATTACTGGGAAAAATTTATCGAGAAACCAACATTTGGAAATTTTTTGGTCAAGTATTCACCCCCGTAAAATGTATATTGCTAGGGCTATCAAAAAAATACTTAAATTTAAGATCTGACGATTGAAGACGTCAAAATATTTTAAATAAAAAACTGTGACATTGTCAGATCATTCAAAATATGTCCAAAGCTGGTTACTACTTGATCAAATATAACCCGTAACACTTTTAGAGTCGATCTAAAAATGTACGAAACGTTTGGAATATAGCAGTATCTTTTATAATACTTGATTTTTTTAAAATACCTCAGAAATTCTATGATGCTTCAACTTGGAACATTTCTCCTAGAATTTTAATGGTCCATCAGTTACTTATCTTTATATTTGTTATAAAAAGTACTCCATTGAAATTAGTATTAATAAATAAGTATTAGATTTAATATGTACCACATATTAAATCTTCACCAATAAAAGACATTCCCAAAAATGTGTTATTTGATATTAATGTATAGTTCAGCACATTTTCACAATCATTTACTTTGCCGTCACACGCATATCATCAGAACTATAAAAAATCCATGCCGATGTCACGAACTCACAAATGATTTAATAGTTACCACAGCGATTATTTCATTTCAAACTATTGTGTTGTAAGTGTGCATATTCGTGATTTAAATTTTATGTACAACAATTGTGAAACACTGGAATTGCATCTAGTTCCGTTCTGGTGATTTTTAGAAACATCCGTTTTGCCGCTCGAAGATAATGATTCATTATAATTTCAATAATACTCTTAATGTTAACTATTAACATATGTGTTCGAATTTGGAATGTTTCCATTGACGTCAAGCATTTTCCTGGTTTTAGAAACATCATGGAACACGAAACTAGGGGGAAACTGGGCCAAAAAAGTTTCGAATATCTCGAGATATGCTAGAAATAGAAAAGATATACGAGTGCTATCTTAGCTTGTCATTTATTCTTGAATCGTCCTGTATAGACCAAGGAGAGAAACTTTCTGTAATCATATACATATAAAACAGTGAGAGCGCTCTAAAAACCATAAGGAGTGCTACACAATATAGGCACAGCAGACAGATTATTGGTCACACTCCTCCCAATTCAATCAATCTTGATATTGCATAATCACGACCACATACAAAACAAGACATTACTGCTTTAAAGTATTCGTTGCACAGGTCATGATATTGTTATTGCCGTTGAGAAAAATTATGTTGAAAACACGAATAAAGTGAATTTTTTGTGCGAACCTAATATTTTCAGTTAATTTCCAAAGTGTCTCCACAGAATCAAACAAAAAAAAAACATGAGTCATAAACAGTTGCTCAAAAGGATTCATGAAAATGTGTTTTTGATGACCGTATCTTTCATATTACTATATTTATGACTGTTTTTGCTGCTCCTCATTTAAAGGAATGTGTTCAACATAACTCAACCAACAAAAAACTATTCTGTCTTGGTAAAAATTGAAGTCAGGTTCGAGTATAGTACATGAAAAACATCATGTAAATAGTTTAGACCAATTTCAATCTAATTTTTGACCTATTGGTTGTTTTGGTCGGGACTAGAGGAGAAAATGAGAGAGTAAAGTTCATTCAAATTATGAACTTAGGAATTACATATTAAACTAGCAAGAGTTCATATTATTTCAAACCCTCAGAAAACCTTCAGACAGTTCAACAACTGTTCCTACAGACAGGTCAAGGGCAGATAATCTGTGACAATGGCACGATAATGGAAAACCCATTGTTTCCCTTCAAGCAGAATCTGTTCCTGAACATACATGCACTGGATTCGATATGTAGATGATGTATTTTCTCTTTCTGATACAAAGAAAAGTGAAATAGAATATATGTGTCGACTTTTAACAAATGATCAGTTTGTCAAAGAGTTGCCATTCTTAGATATCTCAGTTACGAGCAGTACAAGGATTCAGATTCTGATAATTATGGGAAGATTACTACTCTCGTCAGACATATTCCTGAGAGATTCCACAATTGACCACAACAAAAAATGCCAGGAAAAATATTATCAAGGACACAGCTGAACATAGAGTATCTTTCATAGGTAATAAATGAATGCTAATTTGTGGAGTATCTTCGAATCTATTGAAAAAACTGTTCTACTTAACCATCCTTAAAAAGAAAGTGGAAAATTTCCGAAAATAGGAATAAATTATATCTATAAATACATCGATAAAAACTCTTTAGAATGATATGCAGATCAGGCGCATTCATCCTCAAACAAACTGGAATTGAACCAAAATCACACACACAATTTTCAATTTCCAAGGGCACTTCGAAGTTGCGAGTGAAAACACTCTCTCTCCACATTACTCAGTGTTTGATGTGCGACAGACATACACTGTATTATAACAATATTATAAAAATCTAACCATCAAGTACGTAATATTCTTCTATTATGTGGAACGTGGCTTTTTCTTCCAGTTTGTATTCAGAAGAAACTTCTGTAGATGATTCACATACCTTTATAAATAGTTTTTAATGATTTCAATAATTTCTTGCTTTCTTCTAAAGTTATCCATTTTCTGTATGATTCTGAAGAGTAGAAAGCCTAACGGTTCTTTTGCAAAAAAAAATCTCCCCTTTTAGCCTTTTTTATTAATTAATTGCCCCTATTTGCGTTCTGGTTTGAGTGGATATTTGGTTTTTGAAACACAAGAAAGTTTAAGCTTATTTTTAGGCACTGAATGCTCTTCTTTCCAGAGTAGGGGATTCCGTTAGTTTAACAGGTATTCTGCTCGAAATCCTTCACTTTTTCATAATTTTGAATTTTTAGACAGGCTAATTTTAGGCTCTAGCCTAATAGGCTAGCAAAACTGACTAATTAGAAAAACAACCTATATAATTTTAGACACATTCTTCTTTATCGCAGAAGAATGTGTCTAAAATTATGGAGTGATCCGATTCACCAAAATCCTTTTTTGTCACTAAGTCAACGTTATTCTGACAGAATTCACAATAAAGACGTTAAACAGAGAGCAACATTGAAGGTAGAGTAAAAAATTAGACAGTAGACAAGTTCTAAATTCTACAGATTAGCTGGTATATTATGAGAGTGCTTTTTTGATGCAACGATTAAATCTATATATTTTCAATTGAAATATTATCGAGAAAATATTCTTCAACGCGACAGAAAAAATCACACAACACAGATTATGTTGTCCATGACTAGCAAATAATCAATTAGTTAATAGACATTTTTAAGTAGAAAATCTTTCATATCATTTAACCCATACAAATGAATACCTTTTTTCAAATGAAACACCAGCTCTCAGTGATTTTTCAATTCATTTCACATGTCTTTAATAATAACTTAACCAAGAACCCCTCCATCTGAATTATATATAGTGAATGAAAGTAAAAATAACCTTTGTTCTCGTACTTCCTATCTGCAAAGAAGAACCGTGGTCGAAACACTTCCGGAATAACAATTCAATGATAACGAACACCTTTAACAATCGTTCTCTCTGATCAACAATCCACTACAACTAAACCGTACACCTGAGTTGAACAGGTCTTATATATAAGGTAATCGTAAACCAAAACAAATCCCTTCTCCACAATAGAAGTAGGTATATGAGGAAGGAACTATTCAAATGAAAATCCGTTCCGAAAAGTGGCAGCCGATTTTTTTTCGTAAAGGGGCACTTATAGTATTTTCGACTCTACCACTTCCACCCTCCATGATGCCTAACACAGGGGCTATCAATACCTCATATGATAAAACACACTTTTTATAGCATTCTTTTTACTACTACTACTACAAATTAAAAACGAAGACAAGAAAGTTGACATTTGCGTTCAATCAACAAGAGCTTTATCCGGATAACTTGCACTCGGTACATCAATTGATGACCTATTACTATGACCTATTGACCTATTATGTGTTATAAGAGATTATTTGTATTTTGAGGTGTTTCACAAATACTTGTTGATTGCCTACAATTATTAATTCATCAATTCAATAATGCAAAATGATTATATGAAGAAACTATTGTTGTGAAAACGAGATCTTGGGGAGAGGTGGGTTAATAAGCTGGTTTTCTTTTATTTATCTGCATTCATTAACAACTTGTGCTTTCACGTTTGAAAGTGATTGAAATAAGATTTGGACTATTGAATGCCATTACACCAATAACGAACATTAGACATTTAGTGCCACATTTAACTCCAAAGAAAACATGAAGCTTTCAAAATTCTTTAAGCTCATAATTTAAACATAAACAATGTATGTGGCATATGGGCCCCATTTTGGATTTATTCGATGCATCGTTGGAATGTGAAATATTCCGCATACTGAAATATTTGAATTGTTAGATATCAGAGTTGATGAAATATCAAAAATCAAATATTTACAGAATAATTGAAGAAGTGTGTTTACTTTAACGAATTTCATGAATGAAATCAGTATTTTACCAAAAGGTAAGGTTATTTGGAACGGTAGCCACACTTTTTCTTATCCAAACTTTTGCTGACGACAGACAGACGGACCGATGTAATATTTATAAAAATAAGTAACATAAATAATGTTTATATAATAATAATAATATGAAACTCGTCCGATAGACAGAGTTTGTTGTATGTCTGTCAGTCCGTTACTTTATCTGTAATCCGCAAAAGTTCGACTACAAATAACTCTCGAAATAAAAGAAATATCGACTTTACCGTTTGTTGAGCTCTTCAAAATCTCCCGATTCCTATTTTGAATGCAATGGAACAACCGTTACTCTCCTGAAGTACTCTGAACAGTTCCCTGCGGGAAAATAATGCAAACATTTTCAGCTGTAGACACTGATCTGAATAATGTGTTTCAATAGTTTGTATTTTGGTATCATTGTGAAGATAAATAAACCCCTGCCAAGAAGATGAGAAGGAAGTTCAGTTTAGCTCGTCATTATCTAAAGTAAAGCCCCCGTGGCACTGGTGGACTTTCTCTTGGAGAATCACCCACTTTTCTCAGTTATCTAGTGAGCAGCTGATTGGCTGTTCAAACGATTTTTAATGACAATTTGATGATGGATATATTGGATAAATCAGTAGTATTGTTTCAATTAGTTGAAGTGTAGTTTGAAAACAATGAAAAGATAACTGAAAGTTTGTCATTTTTCACCCTTCCTTCTCTTACTTCTTTTGTACTCTACGAAATGGATTTCCCATTACCTGTCACTGTTGCCACATCGGAACTTTTTCAATGATTCCAATGAAAGAACAAATATATTATTTATCAGCCATCAACGGTGAATCGTAGTAAATGGTAATGTGTCCGACTCACAATCCAAAGATATTTTTCAAGCGAGAAATTATCTAGGTGTATTATGTATGAACCCAGAAATGAGAAAACCGTTCATCATTTCAAATTACATCAATTCATAGTAGATGCTTGAACTGTTGTCCTCCATTAACTGCTATACGTGGGTATAAGTTAGTGTCGAAACCGTGTCTGACATTTTGGAGCATTTTTGGAGTAACATTGTTTTTCCGCAAGAGGGCGCCAAAGTTCAGTGAACAGTCACGTGGATGCATGCCTTATAAAATTTGCTCCATAATAATTTGTAACCTTTAGTACTTTCTCTATTAAATTGTAAGGGTGATGGTCACTAAGAGGCCGGGGGAGGAGGTATGACAGTTGAGGTTATGATTAGAAGCATCCTGCTTCAATTATAAATCCATCTGTTTTTGCAGGTCCTTGTACATGAGTCTGTTATTGGTTGCGGTGTTGACAGATTTATTAATTTTAATCATATAAAACTTAAGGTTAATAGAACATTCACTGAATTATGTTATTGATAGGATTCAACTGGAAACTGTAATCGCATGAAAATTGTGTTCAGAACGGTTTGAATTCATGGGTTGCGACATAGCTTTAAATTATCTTTTTGAAGATAAATAAATTAGAAATAAAAACAGAAAAAATTTGAACAATTTCAAGAAAGTTTATACTCATATTTATCATAAAAATATTCAATTCCACAATGGAAAAACATTTGAAAATGAGAATCTTACTTTTTTGCAAAAATTATCTCTTTTCCTTATTCGGTTTCGTTGATTTTTCTGGAGGGAGACCTGATTATTATTTGGAAAAATTGATTATTTCATAACTTATTGTACAAATTGATATTGGTAATATCAGTTTTATTAATGTTTGCAAAATTTTTGAGAAGCATTTTCCCCTAGAAAACCATCAGACACTTTATTTTATTTCTTAGTAAATATCACCATGGTAGAATTTTACAACTACGGTATTACGGTTCCGCTCGAAGATTTATCAATTTCATAAATTATTCACCGCGGAGAAACAGACAGATCACAAAATTATAAAAAAAACGTGTGCCTCAGGACGCTCTACAGAAGTGATAACTTGAACTCATCTAAGTTGAACTATTTAATAATGGAATCGTTTAACTCGAGAGAAGCTTAGGTTATTACCTAAAATTGTATGTATATTAATATGATATTGTAAGTTTGTGTATTTACTTTTATTGTAGCTACCATACGTCAATTTTTACTTTAGTAGGAGTAAATAATGATACTAATAATGTTCATACACAAAATTAGTATCATATTTTTTAAGCAACGTTTCACAAAATAAGGAAATATTACATGCTTGCTGGTTAGATTTTTATTATACTGTCAACAGTATATGTCTAACGCACACTAAACACTGAGCGTCTCTTTGACGAGAGAAGAGGAGCCTGCCTTCCGCTCACGTATGCGTGGGAGAAAGGGAAGCCAGACAGCGGTTTACGCTCCCATAAGAAGTTATCACTGCAATAATATTTTTTTCATAATGAACTGAGTGCGTATTTATTTTGTTATGAAATGGACAGACGGTAGTCAGATGGTTCGATCCGTGATAAGAATTGCCTTAACTGCACAAGTTTTGACTTCTGAGAGTTTGTAAGTGAGCTACAAATGGTTAACCGAAAAACAATTTAACACATACAATAATAATAACTTTAACTGGAAAAGTTTGGCAACATTCAAATTGTGACGCATGTTCTTGTTCTTCAGTTTTACATCCGTTGCATCAATGTTATAAGGAAATACCCCAGAATTGAAAAAGATTCAATTTACACTCAATGGGATGTCATGAGTGCATCGCTCATATAGTAAATTGCTCTCTTGAGATCTTGTCTAGGAGGTGAAAGAAGAACCAGATGTAAACAAAAGTAAAATTTTTTGATAACATAAAAGGTTGCTCAATGTTGTTATTTAGTGGGATGAGTGAAGTGAATCAGTGTTATAGAATGATGGAAGGAAAATGAGAATGAATATTGGGTATATTTTGAATGAGTGGCTTAAAGGGGTGAAACATATGATGTATTGATACTCTATTTTTCAAAATGAAAAATGAAAATGGATATCAATGAATGTTTTCTCACAGAAACCTAATAGTCTATCCATGATGTAAAACCTAATAACTTGTTCACCATGTAGTCATCCTCTTTTCCATTCCCCTTTTTAATTCTGCGATAAATTCTAAGAGGGCCATCCATAACTAAATACGGAAGCAAACAAAAGTGAAATAATAGAGAATCTGCTGAAGTGTAGTAAAGGGAAAACTGAAAAGTTTGCCCCGAAAAGTTACTGCGTGATATAAACTACTGGAAAGTCCAATTAGTCAGTAACTTGTATTCATAAATTGTCCCTACGAATTGAAAAATATTAATTTATAAAATTGAATATTGGTACTTTGCTTTCTTAAGTGGTTAATTAACGTTTCAGAAAACAATCCTTTTCCGTTTTCTAAAACTGTATTCACTAAGAAAATCTCACCTTAAACTGTGATATTTCTAATTTCTTTTAACACAAGTCAATTTGCCTCTATTGATTTATTTTCAATTTTTTCAGATTGGGGAAGGTTATGAATCCAAAAAACAGTGGAGTCCGTCACAAAAAAAAATGTCGTTCAAGGAACAGTCAAGAAATGATAAGATCGAAACATGTTGTTAGTATTGTTTTATATCATGTAGTAAATAATAAACTACACAGAAAAATAAATTGATAGTCAATACATTTTCATGTGGTGTCATCATTTTAAGCATCGGAGTTTTCTCAATTTCTGGAAAGAAAAAAGGTTTTCATTCATTTATTGACAGCAACAATTTTGATAATGATGCCATTATCAGTTTATTGGATATACGTGTGCTTTCCTTTTAGAATTGAAAGAAACGTTCTGATAATTGTATCTGAGATGTACCTCATCAGAAAACATGATTTTTCAGAATTTAATAGTTCCTAGCAGAAATAATTAATTAATGCTGGGTTTTTCAAAATGATTTTATTTATCAGCGAGAACAATTGCTCATTTCAAATAACCGCCTGTTGCAAAAAACAATAAAACCACATTTTTATCGCCGTTTGACTTGAAAACAATGGATTTTTGACACATGATAATTTTTTCAATTTCGTGTTACAGTGTTTTTATCTCAATGTTGCTATTAAAAGAACTACGCGTTCTTAAAATATGCTGCATGAAAGGTGATTCACAATATTGGTAATTTCTTTATATGTGTGAAGCACTCTGCATTGATTTATCGAGCGTTTTACTCTGGAATAATTAAAACACTCCGATGGACGACCTCAGCCAGACTAACACACATACACGAGGGTGTTCTATTAGGACCAATTCAAATATAACAAATTTTCACCCCAAATTTTTGGATATTTTCCAAAAGTTGTTTACGTACGTTGATTTAAGGTATTTTCAATAACTTTACGAAACAATATATTTACTTTTGATAATCAACACAAACAAACACTGACAAATGCAAAAACCATGCTTTTTGGCTGTATTGTTAGAATAATCCATTATAAAAAGAAGTAATGAATACAGATATAAATACAGATATAAATTGAAAATTACTGCGCCACTGCAGAAACTGCATTGACGTGAATTGACAGTACCGGACTTCGGACCGGTGCTGAACACATTCTCCACAACTCAATATTGTGACTCATACAGAGCCAAGCTTTACAAAATTTACAAAAATAACGAGTGCAATACTTGCAGTGCCCTCTTTTGTTGAGTGGAGGGTCAGGTTTTTCTTCAGTGTCGAATCCAGTATGTTTAGCTATTGCATTTCGAATGTAGGAATGTAAACCTGACATAGTAGCTCTGGACTGCATATGGTCTTTTATTAACTCCAAACTCAAATTCTTGATAAATAATCTTCTCTGTTCACTATGATTCTGATTTGGGTAGTTGTGCCTGGTAATTATGAATGTATTTATGCTACCAATGTTCAAAATACCGTAAAATACAACTCAAGGCCATCGTTTCGTATTCCATGCAACATTATAACTGGAGCTCATTTTATCCACAATATCGACTCCACATTTAGTAGTATTATAAAATAAAATAACTTCTGGTTTACTAGTTATTGAATCGACTGTATCACTGTTGTGGAATGAAGATATCATCAGTAAATTCTTTCTCTTTCTGGGCACATAGGAAGATGCCATCATTTGAACACCAAACCCAAAAATGGAGGAGCCTAGAGGACGATGACGATCTTTAGTATGTGTTAAACTTTGCCGCAGTTCTCCTTTATTGCTTTTTATTGTATCCACGACGGTGAGTCTATATTCTGTCTTCAATTTTTGACGAGATTGCAACTGAGAAACCAGTGATCCATAGCAATGTTTCTCCGAACATCAAACCGGGGATCTACCTAGATTCCACTGCCATCTGCTAACAATAATTCTTATAAAATAACAACCCCCTACAAACTCTTTCCGTTCGCCGTCAGATGACATCATTCAAATGAAATTATAAATGCCGTCGACGGTGGTCTATTGGGACAAAGGTATGAAATCCAAACATGCAAAAAAAGATATTATGGTAAAATGAAGTATAAATTGTATTTTTTTGAATACTTGACAGGTACATAAGATAGCAGATCTAGATAAAATTTATTTAAAACATACCAAGGTTCATTGTATTTTCCTGAAACTAATAGACCACCGTCGTGCATCGGACTGTTGACCAAGAATTCAATAAACTGAAATAATTAGCAATGTACGCCCTGACGCTAGCCGGTCCGATCGACCTGTTCTGTCGACCTTAAATGTTTATATGAAAGTAGCTGTTCCAGGAGGACTTCCTTTCAGTTTGTGTCTGAAAGTTACTTCTTTGCATGATCTACACATCCATGTATAGAGTTACTTATTTTCAAATTGATTACTTCCTTCCTTTCTTTGGAAGATTTCCTAATCCTTTTTTTGTATCAAGATGGAGTAGTAGAAAGCCAAAAACTTTCTTTCCCAAAACTTAATTTTAGTTCAGAATATTTGTATTTCATTTTTATTACATTAACGATTATTATTATTATATGGTTGGTCGGTCGGTAGCCAGGCGGTTCGACGTGCTTGGTTCACTCAGTCAATCGGCCGATGTGTGAGTCGACGGTTCAAGCCCCAGGTTGACCGCTCGATTTTCACTTGCTATCGTCCAACCCGTGTTAGAAACCACACGTTAAAAGGTAAGACCTCGTTAGTTCTTGGCTTGCACAAGTTTCGACTCCTGAGGGTTGTCGTTCGTAGGGGTGCGATAGCTGGTTAATGGAAAAAATATATTTTGAACATATCAGGACCAATGAAATTCCTACTGAAATGTAGAAATATATTTTTCATTAATATATTACAAAAATAATACAAAATACAGAAAATATGGCACAGATGAAGGCAATTTTGGGCATATGTACAGTGGAACTTTCGGATCTAAAGGCAATTTAAAAAATCCTTATCATTAACTAAAATAGTATGGCACATTTGATTCACATAAGCTGAGACTTTAGACAGCCATTTGTACGATTTACATTGATTGAATTTACAGTTTAACATTGGCTTTCAGGTAATTTGTATGGAAATTGATTTGATGTCATGCATCTTAGAACAAGAAAATTTACAATTTTTTACAATAATTTTAGTTTTCAACAATCTATTAAACCTCTTTAGATTATCAGCTATATCTTTAGATTAGAATCTAAAGATATAGCTGATAAGTAAACTCCTATTATGGTTCAGATAAGTTCGTGAAAACCAAAGGGAAAAGTATGGAAGAAAATGACAAAAATAATATATACACATAAATAAAAATAATTCAAAGAAGAGGTGTTTTTAAATTTTCATTCAGGTAATTTCATTTAAAGGAAATAAGGTAGAACCGCTGATGATGCTCTCGATTCAAAAATGACAGTCGTTTTTGTGTTTTTTTATACCGAGAGATATTTGCTCAACCGCCATTCTACTGAAGTTGGAAGTACCATTCCATTGTTCAGATTCTGAATCAAAAGAACTAAACTCGAAAAACTTAATGCTCAATATGATCAATTGCTTCTTCTCAAATTATGTACTTATACATAGGTACATTCATTTCCACTGAAATAATGCAAAATTATTATTGCCAACAAATCTTCAATCTCATCCCTTTCTAACCGAGACAAATTCGATATTACAGCAAAAAATGTGTTTACTTGTGATATAATTTCTAACCGAAGCCTTTCAATTTCATTAAAGGAAGTAACATCTAGTAAAAACCATCTTAAATAAGCTTGAAATTTCATCTCACAATTCGTTCCCAGTAAAATCTTGAGCAGTCTGTGAAATCAGTAGAATCGATTTGATACGAAAATTGGCAATAATTCATAGTATAGTTGACATGTGAGTATCTCCTGCTGAACTCTTTTTATTTTTGTTGTTTAATATATTTGAATAAGGTCAATTTCACAAGAAAACGGATTAAGAAAAAGTTCTTTACAGAAAATAAATTCGACATTTCTGAGAACAAATCAAAGGAGTATTTTCTAGAAAGTAATACGTTATTAGAAGTTAAACGATCTCTGTTGGAATTTCTGCTGTTCTGTGCATAGTTTACTATTTTCATTCCTCTTACTATATTTTGCGCTATTGTTGTTTTAAGTTGTTGATAAGCTTGAATTTCATTGGTACCTACTATAACTAGAAATAAAAATATCCATTGAATTTGATTCGAACTCTAACATTAAAAATTTGATTAACTTAAAACGTTGCAGAACATAATAATTTTAGAACAAAGTTGGTGTGTATAGACCTACAAAAAAAATGTCCGACCTTTGAAATCCCTATAGAAACTACTAATTTGCTGTTTGCAAAAATATGAAAATTTCAACATATAACAGTCATTGAGTGTGCTCTTCCCAAGTACCAAGTTTTACAAGCTTTATTAATTAGATTGTATTCTCTTGGACAATAAAGTATATGTCTATCTATCTACTTACAAAGTAGGTTCATACTGAAACATATATAGGAAACAACTACTCCCCTGGCTTATACCACGAAGGGCGTCGGCGATACGACTGCCGGAATCGATTTCCAATTATTGGAATGGGCACACTGGCAGACCAGTTTCGGGCTATTTGGTCTCTCGCTAGTGCTCAGAATCAGATTTTCAATTATGGGAAATCATCGACTTCATGTTGGTATAGGGCACTACTCGGAACCGGTCTGTAAGTGTGCCCGTTCCAATAATTGAAAATCGATTCCGGCAGTGGTACCGCCATCAGCATATGCAGGAATTACTTCTATGAAGAATCCTGCTCTGACACCTGTCGGATATAATCCAACACCCTTCGTGGTATAAGCCAGGGAAATAGTTGTTTCCTATAGGTTTCAGTTCATGAACCTACTGTGTAGGTGAGGTAAGACTGGCCTGAACGAATTGTTCCTTTAGATGATTTGTGAGTTTGAATCGAATTCTCTCAATAGAAAAATAGTTTAATTTCTGAATCTATAAATTTTGTCCGTTTGGGAGAAAATTGGTATATGTGTATGAAAAATTTTTCAGCTTTCAAAATCCCTATAGAAATTAACTGTTTGAAATTTGAGATATTATTGAAATTCCAAAATATTTACACATTGAGTATGCTGCTTCCATCAAGTTATATTTCACAAGAAGAAAATATTCATATTATGAAAACTTATAGATAAAACAATATACCGAATATTTTGAAAACATTAGAAAAACCTCTTGCCTCAATTGTCTAATTAATCTACGAATTATTAAAATCCGAATTTATGTACAAATTATTTTGATAACAGTGCTCCCTCAGCTTCATTTACACATATCTCTATATCACTGGCACTTCAGTGAGCAAATGGAAGAAACTGCCTAGCAGACTCTGGACACTTTTTGATCCTAGTGCTCCTCTTCAAATACTAGCCTACTTATTCTATTTACAAAACCGTCAATATATCTAAAAGTAACGCTTGTTAACAAGCTTGGCTAGTTCCGAAAAGGGGGCAGAGTAACATACGTTTGTCCACCATTGCCGCCTTCAGGCTTCAACTCCTTCATCCTCCCATCGTCGTGGTACCCCTGGTCGTGCTTCGGGGATCCGTTCTCGTACCACTCGGGCGACTGACCAAGAACGTTATGGTCCACGTACTCGATCTTAACGCCTATGGAGTTCTCGTCAGCGGGAGGCGAATGCGTCTGCAGCATCGAGTACTCTCGCCCTAAAGGCGGGCTGTGATTGGCTGGCGGCGTGGAGTACTCGTGCGCGCGGATGGGAGCGTTGAACAGCTGACTATCGTGCGAGTTCAGCATGTAGCTGTAGCTGTTTTGGGCAGAGCCGAAGCTGGAATAAGAGGCAGGAGAGCCGAAGCTGGAGTACGAGCCGGACGTGCTGTTAAGTAGGTTGAGATGGGAGCCTAGGTCGTAGGATGACTGGTAGCTCCACGAGTCCACTGGCGCGGAGGTGGTGAGGGTGTTCGGCTGGGTGAAGGGTATGGGATTGCTGAAGTTGGTCGTGATGCTTGAGCTGGGGGACGTGGAGCTGATATAGCCTGTCTTGCGGGGTGGTTCGCGCTTTCTCCACTTGGCTCGTCTGTTCTGGAACCAAACTTGGACTCGGGACTCGCTGAGGTTCAGTTTGAGGGCGAGCTCTTCTCTGGCGAAGACGTCCGGGTAGGGGGCGCGTTCGAAAGCACGCTCGAGCTCTTCGAGTTGGAAGGCGGTGAAGGTGGTTCTGGAATAGAAAAAACATGTTGTAGCTGTTTCAGGGTTCATTAACATTTGTGTCGACCATTTATTATAGAATCAGTCTTCAGCTGCTGAAAGTGAGTGAGCAACTTTCCTACAACTGAACTGAAACTTTGTAAAATCCAGGATCGAGTTACTGACTGACAACTCAGAATAGTTACTCCAAGTGCAGAAAAAAAAAGTGCTAGTATTTTTTTTGAATATTGAATATCAAAGTATCTAATAACTCATATAATAAATCATAAGACGATCATCAGCGATTAATCTTCTTCAAATTCCAATAATTTGCAATCCAACCATTAGATCTTGAAATGTGACAAGGGTTCCAGTATTACCTCGTATGAAAGGTTTACATTTTTTATATCAGGTCCAATTTCTTTGAATTTGATGCAATAGATATCGAGCATAAAATGCAAAAATATTCTTATCACTTTCAAGACTAATTATTAATAGACTGATCCTTTATTTGAAGACTATCCATGATAATAATCAAACAATTTTCAACCCTATGGAGATGGAGTACCTTATTTCCATCAAAATATTAATTCGATCTTTTCTGTACATCATTTGGTCAAAGAGCTTGACGAGTGAAGTGGCCGTCAAGCGCACCCAACTTATATCCATAGATTTTTTCTAACTGATAGGCTATAACTTGTAACCTTGTAACCTCAAACAGATATTTTTCTCTAGAGAATTTATCTAGTTGAAGCTGGGTGTTATTAACATTGCCTATCCAAGACACTAGGCTAATGACCAATGTAGTCGATGCCGATGACCCCCAAAAAATATTTTGAACGACAACACGTGGCTTTATGTCCGACAAGTATTCAAATTCTGTTTATTTTTGACACCTAATCAAAAAAACTCTAATAAAAAATAAAATCAACGGGTTGAAGCGGGTGTCGTTCACATTGGTCCATCCTGTATTTAAATCCTCATAGTTAGGGAACAGGTCTAACATATATAATCATAATTTTTTTGTTTAGGATCCAAAGAATCTTTTCCACCTATCAGAAGGTATTCTTCCTAAAGTTACTGATATAATTTACTGTGATTTATAAACCACGACACGTTTTTCGCAATACAATAGCTTCCGCAACCTTCTAAACTTTTTTTTAGTAATAGTGTCAGTTTTATTCAATTGTTTGGATATGGAGTCATATGACTGTTGGTGGTAGTAAAATTTCGCATTCAAAACTGAAAGAGATGAAGTATGGCATATTGAAAGTTCCACTATCTGATTGAAGAGAAAGAATGTCCCTACTACCAAAAAATTGTGGCTTAGTTAACGTATCAGTAGAAGGGATATCAAGAGAACGTCATTTTGGCACTCATAATATCCAGAATTCAACAAGTTTACTTGTTTCATTTACCGACTACCACATTTTTGACAAATACCTGATTACTTCGCTAGACACTAGCACTAGCTAGCGGAGTAAAAGATAAGTAATTGTAAATAGGCTACGGATCTATCTTCTGTCCTAGCTGGTCTGCTGGTGTGTTCAAGTAACTTACTGTGGTTTATATTGAACTGGTAGTTGCCTTGAAAGTTACTGTTACAAATTAACACCTTTGTTCGTACTGTACCAATGTAATGTCGTCTCACATGGATTTAAAGATTTACTTGTTTTTTACTAATTTTTGACCGATTTTAAGGAAACATTTATAATTTATGCCTTCAAACTAGTAGACACAAGGCTCAACAATTGAATTGGACAATTTAAAAACTCTAAAAATTGATATTAAATGAATTAATCTTCGATTGATTTAATTTTACTACAATCAGTCTACTTCAAACCAAAACAAAGAATTGAAAATCAATCTTGAAAAAACCTCACAGGAAAACTGAACTTCAGAAAAAAGGTTCAGTGAAACTTGAGTGAGATACAGCAAACAGATAATCATAAAAAAATATCGTTATTTTCGGAATAAAACCATAAAAAAAGAAACAATCAAATTGAACGTCCCGACTCAATGACTAGAGCATAACTTGAGGTGAAAATGTTCTTTTGTTGTTCTGAAAGAAGTGATAGTTGATGATTATGTATCCAAAAACTGCCAATATTTTGTCCAATAATATTTATGTATTTTGTCATCGATGAGAAAAAGTTGATTTCAAAATTGACAATAATTGCAACCTCCTGAATATTTGATTATGATATTCTTCACGATTACTATTTTGTGGTTTTCATTGTGAAAATATCTATCATTTCATAAACTTCATAACTTCAGAAGGTGATTTGATTTTTGATCGTTACGTAGAAAACTAGAACCAGCGATCTCCAATCATGCTGTATAATGTTTTCGCAGCACTCGTAGTGACGAAGGATCACTTTTTTATTTACCCGTATACGGAATTTCACACCCTATGGCCTGTGCCACCCTGTGGTCTGTGCCGTATCGGAATTTTGATACAACAGATGCGTGAAAAGCATACCGGCAGAAATACTCGTATCTACCCACCAAAATTAAGTGCGTCATCATTTTTTTCCAACATATTTCCCGACGAATTATATGGGTACTATATGCGCCATCAATAATTTAGGGGCCAAAACCGAAGTCTCATTATTTCAAACAATGAGGATACACTATGAAAACACACTTTTGTCTATTTTCCATGATAGTTTTATATTTGTTGACTAGTTTCGGTCATTACACCATTTTCAAATAAAAATATAAAACTATCGTGGAAAATATAAAAAAGTGTTTTTTATAGTGTATTCTCAGTGAACATGAATTTCCATAAAATAAACAAGTCGTCAATCAAAGAAGATTTCAAACAATATGTCTAGTGAATATTACTGGAGTTTTCTCCAAACACTAAACCGTTATTTTAACACCTCGACACTTGTTTCGATCACCAACTGATCATCTTCAAGAGGAACACCTCGACACGTGTTTCGATCGTTCAAGAGGAAAAGATTAGTTTGATCTTCCTCTTGAAGATGATCACTTGGCGATCGAAACACGCGTCGAGGTGTTAAAACAACGGTTTGGTGGTGGGAAAAAACTCCAGTAATATTCATTACTACACACCAAAGATTCCAAACAGTGCATTACAAATATACCGAGTGTACTGTGAACTCTAAACATTCGTTCAGGAACACAGGATTCCCAAATATTTCAATGAAGTGTTTTGAACATTTAGTAATATTTTATTTGATGAAATATTTCAATGAAGTTTTTAAACATTTGTTAGTAATATTTTATTTGATGTTACAATATATACTTATCAGATCATCAATTGAAACGTTGTTATTTAGACTTCACATCTCCTGGGTTGTTGATGTTACCATGGTAACTGCAAAATACGCGCGTTTTTTAAAATTGGATTCGAACACCTGAGGTATACTTTGAACAAGCAAAATGGTATACCGTCAAGAAACTATTTGAGCTATACTGAAGAACATGTTTCAAGTGGTTTTTTTTCGGTTTCATTTGAAAAAATATCTTACTTTTTTTATCGTTTCAGTTTCGGAGATCGATTTTTTTTAATATTCTGTTCTTGTTCTTACCAGATAATTCATTAGTGATCCGTGAACTATGTAATGTAGATGAAATCATACTTGATTCTTTTAGTTTGTTAAACACACAATATGACTAATAACCAGTCCGTGCAAACCTTATTGTTAAATCATTTGAAAATGGCACTTTCAACAGATGATGATCGATCGCATTGCCAAACATGCGCCAAACTAACTGACTGTTATAAGAAAACAAGTATACTGAGGCACCAGTCAATCTAATAATAACACTGATGATCTTCAAACATGACTCAACCTCTGACGGAAGCACCAAACTCTTACGAAGGTTCGAAATGGATGAACACTTCAATCTTGCTATTACTATAACAATCTTCATGCAGTCATTGTTCACTGTAATTCTGGCGTTGAATCTGGTCATAATTACGCCTTGGTCAAAGACGAAATTGACTGGTTTAAATTTGACGATAGTCTTGTCACTAAATGTTCTGGCGATGTATTAAATTTATTGGAGCCTCTGGAGACACCCTACATTTTGTTTTATGAGAGAGAGGATATTGGCAGATCAAAATCTTCAGATGATGTGGTGCTACAGGTTTTTCCGGGTTTTCCTGCAGCTGAAAAAGCAAATGTGCCACTGGAATCAATGAAGTCGCCCCGGAGCGCCAATTAATTTTTGTTGTTCTATAATTTCATGATTTGTATTTTGGAAATAGGAATATATTTCAAAATATATTTCAAAATTCAGACTACTAGGTGAATGACACCTTCTGTCATTTTATTGTGGATTTTCCACACCCGTATCAATTTGGTTTTTACGAAATCAGCGTACAATAAGTTAAATAATGATGAAAATGATTATTACGTTAAAAATACAAGATTTCAATGAACCTGAAGTTGAATTGAACAATTATATTGGGAAAGTTTAGTTTTTGATTCTGAAAATGCTATTACTTTTGAACATATTAATGTCCGTTTTAATGTCATGTGTTTTTGTAGCTCCATATTTCAATGAATATTTCTTTCACTGTGTCGTGTATATACTGATCGATATAAAATTTTGTATTCTACACATTGACACTGTTTATTTTTCTCTAAATTTCAATTTGTTGCCTCTTTTCAGCTCATCATTATTATATCGTTAAGTGACTTGCGGCCAATTTTTCTCTGTGTATTCAAATTGAACCAAAGCACTGCCGAAACAGCTTGAAAAATTAATCAGGCATTTGGCAATGATAGTGTTGATGAACGCACCGTTCGTTGTTAGTTTGCGAAATTTTGTTCCGGAGATTTTAGCCTCGAAAAGGTCGGCCTACAGTAATCCAGGAAGAGGATTTGAGGACTCTGGTGGAGATTGACACATCAGAAACGGTGCCTGGGATGGCGCCACACTCCCATGTGGTTTTTGATGGTTTAAAACTTATAGGAAAGGACAAAAAGCTCGGAAATTGTCATGTTTCGGGGTATGTTCTTCTTCACTTTTACGCAACCGAACCGACCTTTTTTGGGTAGGATCATCACTGTTATGAAAAGTGGATACTCTGCGACAACAGACGACGTTTAGAACAGGGGTTGGACACTTATGAGCTAACCAGGCACTACACAAAGGCTAATCGTGGGAGTTTTATGAACAGAGTAAATTTAAAAATTCTTTCTGACGCTGAGTCTATAGAGGAGATGGATGTCGAGCTTATGACTCCAACTAACCTTCCTGTAAATTTAGTTCAGGAGCGAGTCTACAGAGGAGATGGATGTGGAGTTACGACTCCAACTGACCTCCCAGTAAATTCAGTTCAGGAGCGAAAGCTTCTCAACTCCCCAACTCCTGATCCAATAACGGAACCTAAAAAAAAGGTTTGGTGGTGCAGCCAGGAAACGACTGAGTTGTCTCCTCAAGAGCGGGGTACCTTATAAAACCACCTTACAACAAACAAATTCTTGAGCGGCGTACGCAGAATCTGTTTCACGTGGAGGAACAAACCCCCCATGAGCAGGTTAGCAAACGTTTGCGCTCAAGTGATGATTCACCAAAACCAGAGGTGAAAAAGCCCTGCACAGTTGAATCTAAAGCTTCGTCAGGTGTAGCTGATGAGCAAAAACCCTCATATGGGAAGGTTGTCGCTTGTATCAAGGTGGGAATCTTGCACCTTGACTATCCGAATACGTCATTAACGATGAAACACCAGTGCATATACTTTGTGCCTGCCCCGCTGGGGACCAAATCAGGTTTTTAGAGTTTGACAGAGCCCTACTCCTACCATCTGACCTGAAAGACCACTCACCATACAAATTAATCGGCTTCGTTAAGAAGCTGGGTTTATTTGGTCAAGTGTGAATAGAAGTGAGACACAATAAACCCTTGCGAGTTGCGGTGGAGGGTCTAATAGACCCACTTACTTCGGACCTAACCTAACATAACCTAACTCAAAAACTTATAAAAAAGACCATGCTCATTGCATGGTGAACAGTGGCTGGTGTAATTCACTATAATTTTCTGCAACCTGGCCAAGCAATCACAGCAGAGTTTCATTGTGAGAAAAACGACAAAATGTAGCAAAAATTGTGTCAGCAGCAGCCGGCACTGGTCAACAGAAGTGGTCTGATCCTGTTCAATGACAACGCCTGTCCGCACATTTCACAAATCACTGTCCGAAAATAAAACGAATTGGGCTTCGAAGTTCTGCCTCAGCCACCATACTCCTCAGATCTTTCGCCAACCAACTACCATCTTTTCAAGTACTTCGATAACTTTCTTACCGGTACAACCTTCGCCAAATAGGACCAGGCAACACGGCTTTCGTCGACTTCATCGAATCTTGAGCACTCGATTTTTATGCTGACGAAATTAATCGATTTGTGTTACGTTGTCAAGAGTGCACTTATTCAAATGGCGCTTATTTTGATTGAATTAAATAAGTAGTCACTGAATATTACAGTTTGAAGTAAACTCATGAAAATGGACAAAACTTTTGAAACAACCTAAAAAAATGTCTGATACCGATTACGAACGATTAATTTTATTTTTATAGCTTTCCTTTAGCATGAAAATCTCGCAATAAAGTGTTACTTGACAAAAAGACGAATTTCTGAGTTATCTATGTTCGTATTTTTTAAGAGTTGTTTCGGTTGGACTGTTTTCAATAACTTGTTTCTGAGAGACGTTTCTGTGCATAATTCATCTTTGTGAATGATTTTTATTGATGCATTTAATTTTTTCCTCCTTCTTGCAGTTATTCATTTTCAATATTTTTTCGAAAAATGTTTTGAAAGATTGTTTTCCCTTCATCTGTGTAGGTATCTGTAAGTTATTATTTGATACTAAGTATGTTGCGTGCGAGAAAATCTTAGCTTTATGTTTCCAAATTTCATGGCTATACTTTGATTGAACGACACGATGTAGATATTTAATTTCTGATCCATCAATTTATTTTTTCTTTCACCACATTTTATTCTATTTTATATAATCTACTCTATACTTTGTAAAGTGTTTATTGTTGAGCAAAATAAGTAATTCTTATTATTAATACCTATAACATTCTGAAAAGTTTCACTTTTTCGCTAGATTCGAATAAATGCCACACTCACCTCGTTTTCTTCTTCTTCACCCCGTTATCGTTCTTCTTCTTGTCGTTCTTCTTGGTCGTCGTCGCCTGCGTGCTCCCGATCTCGCTCGAACTCAGATTCTGCGACTGTAGCAGCACCACGTCCTCGGTCTTTCTCTTCACCCCATTGGCACCGTTGTTGACGTTCTCCAAGCTCGGCGAATACATTGCCAACTCCTGGTGGTGCAGCGGAGGAGACCCTTCCATCTTCTGCGGGGAGCCCTTGTACTCCATGGGCGATCCCATGCCGCCGAACATGTCGTGTTGCTGCTGCTGCAGCCCCAGCATCACCTGGATCGAGTGCACATTGAGGTTTTCCTGATTTTTGTTCAGCAAAGTCGAGGCCAGCGACGGAAGAGGCTGGTTATTGTAATCTCCGAAGGTCTGATCGTCGAACGGAGCACCTTCCATTGTTTTAATTGATCGCAGCAATCAGAGCAATCTATTTCAATTTAGCACTAATTTTTTTAATCGAACAATTGCTACAGGCTTCGGTTAACCAGATAAACTGACTTCTGACATTATTATTTTAGTCAATTTATATTTAACGAGCTCAATTGAAACCTTCGGGATGGTCCAATCCTAGACGGAGCTTTCAAAGCTCTGCGTCGCTTCATTGGCTGGCGCTTTGGGGGACGTGCCGACCAGCCAATGGGGTGCGGATGCGCCGAACGTAGTGAGCCGTGTGCGACTTCTTCCGAAATGAGGGTCCTGCAGGTCCTATTGTGAGTTATATTTAGTCGCGTCAATGAATTCATAAAACAGGAAATTTTCGGATGCCCTCGAGCACAACTTCGATGATTTTTTGAGTTGTTTGTTGTTTATTACTGTTTGAAATCAGAAATTGGGGAAAGAATTATTTATATTGCATATAATACTCATTAGAGACCTTTATATAACTTTTTATTCATTATGGTGCTTTATTTCTATGTGATATCTTTTCTTCTCTACTTGAAAATCTGATAAAGAAGTCTCACCCATCCAGAAATTCGATTTTCCATTCAAATGACACATTTGTTGTGTTTAAACTCAATGTAATGGTAATTATTTTTTTTTAGAGAGAAAGGGTGTAGACCATTGAATTCGTTACAGAGGAGTTTCTATGAGCTAAAGCTCATAGACATATAATTTTCAGGTTCAGATGGATGAATTCAATCCTTAATCATTTTGAATGTACCTATATTGATACTATACATAAATTGAGTAATATAGGCTCTAGAAGGCTCCTAAATTATCAATTCTAGAAAGTACTCATTTATTCACACCATTTACCATTGATATTTATTGGCTAGCAGCTAGAAATTGTTTTTTTCTGATTGATTCGGCTGTTACTTGATGAAGATCCATAGTAATTTCAAAAACTACACCTCACGATTTGATTTTCACAAACGTCATTTGAAAAATATATCACAACATGTTTCGCTAGCACAGTAGTTTTGTCAAGTGATTTCTATGCGATGCCACAACTTTAAATAAATCTTGTTTATAACTTCGTCAGGTGTAGGATTCTATCAATTGAATTCCCCAAGCATCGTCATTAATGAAATGTAAGGTTTTGAAAATCCCTGAAATGGTATCATAACTTTCATAAGATTTCCACTGATCGAGATGTAGTTTCAAAAATTCAATTTTACTGTTGAACAGTTCAAATAAAATTGAAGACCTCTTCGCTGCAAATCATACAAACAGGGCCGTCGCCATGGAGGGTTGGGGGGAGCCTCCTCCCCAACTTTTTCCCAAGTGGAAAAAGCAGGGGAATTTTGGGCCGTGAAGATAGACAAATATAATAGTAAAAAATTAATAAAAATGAGAGAAAAGAAAGGGAGAGGTAATGAGAATAGGGAAAGAACCAGGACAAGGTTGGGATTTCCCAACTTCAAAAAAGTTTAATTTCTCCCAAGTAAGAGAACAGTCCTGAACAGTACACAAATCTTGAAGTGACAATTTTATAAAATTCCCAACTTTTCGCTGTTTATTCAACTTGGAAAAATTGGGAAATTTCGGGCCGTGAAGATAGAAAAAATAATAGTAGAAAACAATAAGTACAATATTATTTAAGTGTTGTTTCCTTTCATTTGTATTGAATATTCCTATACATGGTGGATATGGTGGAACACCAAGGACCTTGGTCCAAAGTAGATTACTTCCCATTATTATTTTTATAATTACTAAATTTTTTTTTGTGCATACCCTAACGGGCATCAGCATTCAGACAATCTTTGGATAGCTAAATAAGAAAATTAATATATTATAGTAGTAACTAATCCCTCGGCTTTCATTTTTTCGAAAGTTGGGAAATTTTCCTGGTGTGGTTGGGAAAATTTGGATTCTCCCCCCCCCTGCTTTTCGCTACGGCCCTGCATACAAATTATGCAATTTTAATACTACAAATTTTATTTTAGACGCGTGTTTTTAAACGGTAGGTTCATCAGTTGGACTGGTATATCAAACTGTTCTTCAATGTCTTTTATGTAATGATAGGTAATTACAGAACTCAATCAGATAATTTATTTATTGTGTTAACATAGGTAGATTTTGAAAAAACAATTACCAACAATACAGGTAATTTATAAATAAGACAATTATTGGAATTTTATGTGAGAACTTAATTAGATAAATGATCAATTCTGGTAAAATAGGTGACTTTTGAAAGAAATTTACAATAGTATATTACTTCTAGAAAAAAAGATAATGTAGGTATGTTATTTATTGACTATTTATGAAAAACCGTTTAACTTCTTTTTGGTCGTTTATTCACTCATCATTGTTGAACTTGTTTTCATAAAATGCCAATAATCAACATATTCATAAAATACTTGTTTTCCTAGAACTAATATTGTAATATTTTTTTTTTCAAAATCTGATTGTTTCATTACAATTAATCGTTTATTTCTTTGAGTTTTGTAATTATTTACTGATTTCTGAAAGAGATTGTAGAATAGTTGCCAGTCCAAATGATAAAACGAAAATGACGTGAAACGCATCCTAAATGAAATTCATAGTGTGAAAATTGTATAAATATTATCACGGATAGTGTTATAAATTTTCAGCAATTATTTGGTCAGTGCATTCATAATAAACATATCCATTATTACATTTACTGAATTAACAAAAAACATTCACCTATATATTCGCGAAACCTTCTTTCATTCCATGGGAGTTATACGAACCCATAGTAATTATTAATTGAAATTATTATTTAATTATTCTTAATGGATGGACATCTTTTGGAATTCATGTTAAATCATTATATTCAAAATTATAAGAGATTACCTATTAGTCTAGTTTTTCTTTAAATCATCTCACATGTTCTTTAATTCTGGGGGTCATTCAGTTTGTAGAAACTTTTTTATGCAAACTCAGTACTCTACAGTGATCATAGTAATCATTAGTTGAAATTAATATTTAATTACTCTAAATGAATGGACATCTTTTGAAATTAATAATTTAAGAATGTTATATAGTCTATTATTAACTAATTTCTATGTTAAATCAATATATCCAAAATTATAAGAGATTATTAGTCTAGTTTTTCTTTAAATTCATCTCACATTTTTTGTAATTCTAGGGGTCATTGAGCTTCAGCTTGTAGGAACTTTTTTTATGCAAACTCAGTGCGCTACAAGTTTCATAAACATTTTTTTAAAAAAGGCGACTCCAATAATTAAGCTGAAACAAAAGAAAACATTTTGTGTTATTAAAACTAAAAATTGAATTATTGGTTAAACGAGATTTCTAATTCGTATGAATTTTTTTAAAGATATAGTAACAAGAGAAAGAAAAAATCGCCTGGAAATTAAATACTCTAGTGTTCACTGGATTATTACTAAACGATTTGTGATAATATATCCATTTACTGAAACAATTACTAATGGCATAGGATTTATATACAAAATTCCAGTTTTTCAAATTCATGACGGTACTACACAAAAATAACCTTTTTTGTATCTAAACACTACATTGATAGCTCAACTTGAGGCATTATTTGGTTGGGTCAAAGGTCAAAAGTGAGTGGGTTCATTCGACCTTCCACCGCAACCCGCAAGGATTTATTGTGGCTGGCATATATTGGACAGTGATTTTATTTTTCTGTTATTTTTGTTGATTTCTCATATGAGAGGCATTCAACTTGTACAGATTCGCCATCAGGAGATACTCCAATTATTAGATAATCCTCACTAGCCCCGAATCTATTTGTTTGGATGCCTCGTTTCACTTTTTACAAAGCCAACTTTCATGATTTATACAAAAAAAAACTGAAATTTGAAAAAAAATCTCCAAAATCAATGCTGTTATTGAGAACTTAAAAAATTCTTCACTGATGCGACTATATTGTTTCTTTTCATGATCAATATGTGTTTATGATGGTGGTCACGTGAATGGGAACGATGTGGGTTTGTATTATTGTATTAATTGGCTTTCTTCTTGTGGGAATTTGGACCGGATTGATTTTCGGGGATGATAGTGTCGGGATTTATTGGTATCGAGTGGTTTTTGAATGTAATAAATTCGTTCTGGTAGCTTTTAATGTATCGATACCTTCGATGGGTGTACTCAGTGTGAGAACTAGGGGTAATTACTTCAGTCGAGTGTTTTCTCGATGATTGTTATGAATTCAGTTAGAATGATCCAAACGAGCGAATGTTAAGGAATTTGACAAGTGGAGGCCACTGACTTTTTACGCTACTATATCAATTTTGTTTTACAACGCGAACAACGCGATTTCAATCTTCAACGAATATCTTTTAAATAATTTTTATTAAGAGAGGTTAACTGGGATCTCAATTGTCTAAATTAGATCTTTTTTTCAATTTCTATAACTATTCTCTTCTATCTTCAAGCTTCCTGTAGATAAATATGTTTATTATGTACTAAAAATTACCCAAATATTGTATATGGCTTCGAGATTTCTGAACTTTAAATTTGTTGTCTTTATGCAAGATAATTCCCAAATTCTAAGAGTTATTTGAATACTTCTAAGAATAATGGCCATCATGATTGACTAATGTCAATGGATTTATTTCTATTGGTATCAATCAAACTATAAATTTGATTGATTTGTGGCACGGTGATTGATGAACAATTTGCTTGGCCTGAAAAAATCAACTATGTATGCAAAAAATTAAATCAATCATTTTCCGTTATTCACAGACTAAAGTATACCCTGAGAAAAGCATCGCTAATCAATATTTACTATGCTCTTGATTATTCAGCAATTAGTTAATAACATTATTACATGGGGACAATCAACGCAATGTAGCCGGGTTAGGTTAGGTTTGGTTCAAAGTGGGTGGGTCTATTCGACTCTCCATCGCAACCCGCAAGGGTTTATTGTGGCTCACACCTATTCACCCTCCACCAAATAAACCCAGCTTCTTAACGAAGCCGATTAGTTTGTATGGTGAGTGGTCTTTCAGGTCAGATGGAAAGAGTTTGGCTCTGCCGAACTCTAAAAACCTGATTCGGTCCCCAGCGGGGCAGGCACAAAGTATGTGCTCTGCCGTTCCATTATTTTCCTAACAGAGGCGACACACACTGTCTTCTGACAGTCCGAGTCTCTGCATATGATGATTTAAACGACGACCTGTAAGAAGGCCTGTTAGACATAGTAGTTCATTCCTACTGCAGTCCAACAACTGTTTGGTATCAAGCTTCGAAGGATAAATAAACGCCTTGGAGTGAGCCAATGCTGGAAGATTCTGCCAGAAGTCCATAAATCTTCTTGCCATCCAGGTGCTCAATGTTTGTTTGGCAAAGCCTAAAGCGACGCTAATGACAGGTTCTGGTCCAGCATTCTCTACTCGGGAACAGTAAGGCAGTTCGTAGTTGACAATTGAAGAC